AAAACGGCCCGTGCACGTCCGCCTGCTGCCTGACAATCGATAGGCCCCCATGGCGAAATCGCCCACCCGCCTTGCCCAACGTGTGGGAAGCAATTTCCCAAGCAGCGGCAGCGCACAGAGTCCAAATCAGGCGGGGCGGGGCACTCGGAAGAAACGAGCCTAGTCCCAGGGGCTCCGAAAGTCCTAAAGACTTGGGGGTACCGGAAGATGCGGTGGAGGACGCTCAGAGAGGAGGGGAGGGGGGGAGGAGGGAATAGCTGGCATACGTACATGAGCACTGCGACTACACCGAAGTTGTAGGCACGGCAACACGCCTCCGTCGGGGCACGCAAGCGGGCCATGTCATTAACTCTGCTCCGCCATTTGCGCTCCAGGAAAGTCCATTGCTCAGCGGCCGTAGCCTGTGGCCCGAATTTTACTCCGAGGAAATCGGTCGCGCCGTTGATTTCAAAGTGTCGGCCCATGCTGGAACAAGGGAGGCAACGCGAGACTTGAGCTTTCGCACCGTGGCGGCGTCACACACCTCAGCTAACAGCACGATCGCGCACTTCGCGGGCTGGAACGTCAAATTCGCAAGCGTGCGGGCGGCGTCGAACGGTGGGCGGGGGAGGGGAAGGAGGCCAATCGAGGGGAGGGGGGGCGCCCACGTCGTCCGTCGTCGCGCCGCACTCAGGTTCTAGCCTGGGGGCCCACCTGCTCGGGCCAGGGCATAGAAACCGGGCAGCAAGGGAATCGAGCTGACCGGCCAAGTGCCGAAGAAAAGGGTCCATAGTCCGGGCCCACAAGGCACCATATGCAGAGCCGAAATCACATGTTGCAAGCCCGCTGGCATGCGGCGCCGAACAAGGGCAGCGGGGGGAAAGAAGCAGAAAGGTCGTACGAGACGGAAAGAGGGAGGAGGTCGGGGTGGCGGCGTGCAAATCTGGTTATCGCATCCTGGCGCACGATGTGCGAGAGGAAATTCCGGCCTCGAATGAAGCCTTGCTGCAAGCTGTGGGCCCGCTTGCAAACGATCTGCGCGAGCTTGCGGCTCGCCGCTGCAGCCACCGCTTTCGCGTCCGCATTCTTGAGGGAGAGCGACCTCAGCTTGCCCGCATTGCGCGCGACATCCACCAGGTCCGTCGGATCGTCGCCCTCAGGCACGAGAACCATATCCGAGAAGTTGAAATCCCACGGCGCGGGCTTGCCCGCGTAGTGTTCCTGCATGAGGGCATGCAACGCGTCTGTCTGCCGCTCGTCCGCCAGCCAGGCCACCGCGAGGAGCCGCTCAGGACCAGGCGCCGTAGGCGGGGCGCGCCGGAAGGCGGCGCGGAGCGCCTCAGGAGACGGGAACGACAACAACGGCCGCTCGAAGTGAAGGGACACGCGTGTCCAGGTAGGCCTCGACAGCCTACTCGTGGACGGGCTGGTCCTTGAAGATGGGGCCCCAGAACTTCCAGAGCGCGCCCATGCCCACCGTAGGCTCACGCTCGATCGCCGTGCTGCGTCCCTCCCCGTCAGCGCGGATGCCAACGAGGACCAGGCGACGGCCATAGGGAACCCACAGCAGCGCCCGCCGCTGGGCCGTCCGCTGCAGCTTCCGCAGCTGGAGCTCCGAGGGGCATCGCCACCAGGCCGCGTGCGGGCCTTCTAGTATAGTGGCAGCGATCCGCTGCCGCTTTCTGCTGCCGCATGCGTGCAGCAGGCGGCATCCCCGCTCGAAGGCCTCGGGGCCCGTGAGCGAGGCAGAGTCGTCGCCAGCCATCGTGAGGCGGCGGGCGTCGGAGGCCGTGGTGCCCCGTATAGGCGCTGGGCGAGCCGGACATCCTGCCTCCAGATCGCCCTTGCCTCCGGCTGCGACGCGCCTGCCGCCCTCTGCCTCCCGAGACCGGTCCCCGACGGGGGCGAGCGCTGCAACTTGTCGCGCCGCAGCCGCGCGGCCTCACTCGTCAGTGGTCCTCTGCCGCGCGCCAGCGTTCCCCAACGCCCAGCTGATCCGCGGCGGAGCAGTCCAGCAGCACCTTGACGTGCTTCCCGCAGCGCGGGGAGGCGAAGACGTTGGGCGGCATCGCCCGATCCGCCTTGGCAGCAGCAGCCCTCGGGCGCAGCTGGAGCTGGGTGGTGGCGGGTGGTCACTCAGGCCCCGTTCCGCCAGGGAGACAGCATCCCGTCAGATGGCCAATTCCGGAAACCCTGAACCAAAAAACGTTGTCATCTCCTGGGAGGTCGAGGTTTGCTTCCGCCGGCTTCCGCCGAGCTTCCGCCGAGCTTCCGCCGGCTTCGGCCGGCAGAGCCGCCGCCGTTTTACTTCCGCCCGCCTCCCGCCAGCCTTCCGCCACCTTCCGCCGAGGAAGAGATAATAACTCCTTCTACGTTCGAAGGCGAGGCGCTTTTTGGAACGCTCCAGGTGTCACAGGAAGCGGCCGTCTCCAGAAGGAAGTGGGACTGCAGCGAGACAAAGGCCCGGTCGATACAGGAGCAGGCCTTGTGCCGCTTAGAGCAGTGAGAGCTCTCCCCGATCACTGCCTTCCCCGGATCAAGCGCAGCTGGCCGGAGGGCGCTCGATGGGTGCAGGAGGAGCAGCGACATCGCCTGTCTGTGGTCATATCGGCGATTTCAATACCGGATTTAGGGTTTAGGGTTTAGGGTTTGCCTTGCAGGATCCTGCAAGATCCTGCGGGATCCTGCAGGATCCTGCACGCAGGCCCGGGTCAGGGCACCCCTGGCTCTGCAGGATCCTGTAAGATCTGGCGCTCTGGCTGGCCCCCGTCTGCATTGACCCCCGTCTCTTGAGCTCCGACCGATGTCTCTGGAAGCCTCTCTGGGAGAATCCGCTTCGGAGGCATCTTCATCCACGTCCAGCGAGTCGGATGGACGGCGGCTGGCTGCTCCAGCGACGGGCCACCGCCGCTCGGTCTGGCATCGGGGCAACCAGTCCCAGAAAGTCTGGAGGGCGCTCTTCCAGCAGTCGATGGTGGGGGGTTGCCGAGGAGGAGGAGGAGGAGGAGGAGGAGGAGGAGGAGGAGGAGGAGGAGGAGGAGGAGGAGGAGGAGATGGAGGAGGAGGAGGAGGGAGGAGGAGGAGGAGGAGGAGGAGGAGGAGGAGGAGGAGGAGGAGGGAAAGAGAGGAGGACGAGGAGAGGGGCTTTCTGGGACGTGTTCGGGGTTCGGTGTTTTCTTTGGGGCTTCGGGTGATGCAGAAACAGCAAAAGGTGCCGAGGCTTGGGGCTATCGTCTGAGTTCCTTTGTATCGGAGTCTCTTGGAGGGCGGCGGGGCATCTAGGAGTGGTCTGGGGCCTTTGTGGAGTCTTGGACCTTCTTCAGGGCGTCCGAGAATGCAGAAACGGCGAAATGCGCTGGGGCCGGAGGCTCCCTTGAGAGCTGCTTGGCAACTACAGTGGTGTGTTGGGAAGCCGAAGACCATCTCGGGGCGGTCCTTCTTGGACAGCTCTTGGGGCCCTCTTGAACCGTCCGAGAATCCAGAAACGGCGGAAGGTGCAGGGGCTGGAGGCTCTCTTGAGGCTCCTTGGCAACTGTCGGAGTCTGCTGGGAGGCTCTAAAGCACCTCGGAGTAGTCCATCTTGAACAGCTCTTGGAGCCCTCTTGGGCCATCTTGGGGCCCTCTTGGGACATTTTGGGGTTCTCGTGGGCCGTCTCTGGGGCCTCTTGGACTCTCTTGGGGCCAGGGTGGGGGTCTGGGCCGTCTGGGAAACCGGTATAAGCCCTCGTGGGCAACTCCTGGGGCATCTTGGGTGACCACTTGAGGCTCTGTTAGGCTATACGAGGCCTGTTCTGGGCAGTCTTGGGGCCCTCGTGGGCCGTCTTGGTGGGCTCGTGAGGGCCTCTTGGGCCATCTTGGGGCGATCTTGGAAAGACCTGGAGGCGTGTGGGACCGTCCTGGGCCCGTCATGGGGAGAGTGTGGAACACATAACATAAGAAAACAACATATTTTGCTTGCTGTGGCCTCGTGGGGCCGTCATCGGAGTCCTCGTGGGCCCTCTTGGACCGTCCTGGGGTCTCTTGGGCATCTCTTGGTCAGTCTTGGGGCCCTCTTGGACCGTCTTGGGCACTTGTAGGGCCTTCTGGGCCGTCTTGGAGCGACCTGGGACGCCCATGCAGCCGTCTGGGGCGTTCTTGGCCCGAAATGGCGAGATCATGAGAAACCTTCACAGATGTCAACAAACTATGATTTGGGCCTTGGGGGGGCGCCATCGGGGTCCTCTTGGGCCGTCTTGGGAGGCTCCTGGCCTGTTGTCAGGCTCCCTCTTGGGCTGTCATGGGGCTCCGTGGGGGCCCTCTAGGGCCGTCCTGGCGCCCTCGGGGGCGGCTCGGAGCTGTCTTGGAGCTGACTGAGGCCATCTAGGGGGCCATCTGGCAACCCGCTGAGCCCGTCGAGGAACGTCCCGGGGGGCGTTGCGGGCGCTCCACTCGCTTGGGGGAGCTCTGGGCCGATTTTTTCTGCTCGCACTTTTCGCGCGCGCCGCGAGCGGAATTGTAGTACCGATGAGGTTGGGCTCCAGCTTAGCATCCCACATCTCACTGAGCACCGAGAGTGCGTGCTGCCACTGCCCGCCACGTCTGCATGCGCCGACAGTCGCAACGTAGTGGCATGAAAAGACTTGCACACCAAGCTGGACTCCTTCGCGCAGCAGCTGCAGTGCGGCGCTCCATTGTCTTGTCCGACCACGCGTCTCGATTGCCACTCCGAGGGGAACGGCGCCTCCCCGAGACACCCTACCGAAGTGCAGCATCCGACAAAGGCGGCATCACGGCGCCTTGATCCGCCTCCTCCTTCTCCTCCACATCAAGGGCAGGATCAGTCAGCGCTGAATCGGTAAACCGACTCGGATCCGAATTCGCGTCGGATTGAGCTGCACCGGCACAGGGTCGATATCGAGTCGGATCGATCGGATCAAGATGGGCCCTGCGAATGACGACGCCTCGAACGACGACGACGACGACGACGACGACGACGACGACGACGACGACGGCGGCGGCGGCGACGGCGACAGGCGCCCCGCCTCGGGGGCCAGGCCCGCCTCTGGCGCCGCCAGGCTGTCGAGGACCACGGAGTGGCCCTCCTCCAGCCGAACGGGCGCGTGCACCTATAGGGTTGTGGATGCCACGGCAATGGACACTGTAACCGTTCTATCATTGAATGGAAGATGTCATTAAAATATATTCTACATGCTTCAAACATGCTTTAGCATGTTAAGCATATATTCCAACCATATTTCAAACATCTGGAAATAATTTGGCAACCTTCAATATGCATCCTCTCCATTGACCGTCTTCCACAACTATTCGGGCGACACGATCTACGGTTGGGGAACTTTTGCTTGGCGTGTCGCGGCGGCGGCCCTGGCGACGCGCTACGACCCGAAAGCGGAGATAGCGTGTGTGCTCGGCACGGTGACGCCGGAAGGGCCAGTCCGCTGATACAGCGTGCCGCCCCGCAGCGTGGTGGGCGGGAAGCGGCGGAGCGACACGCGATCCAAAAGTTCCCGACCGTATACATACAGCCGAAAACATGATGAAACCTGGGCCAGCTTCCCGGAAGCTCCTCAAGACACGCCTGCGCCACGTGCTCGTGTTGACGCTGGGAGGGGCGAACGCGCTCAAGAAGCCGGGCCAGGGCTCGGGCAAGCTGGTGGAGAACCGCTGGCCCAGCTTCTCGGGAGGAGGCACCTTGATCACATGCTCGACCGCAGCCGACTCCAGGAAGCCTGAACACACGTTGGGCGTTGATAGAACTGGATTTAGCGGAACCCGGTTTACTGATGTGTACTGGGGGACGCCCCCCCGCCACATTCCACTAACCCGAACTGCCGTCACCCGAAAAAACACCAGCTACGGCAGACCTGGCTTAGCGATTCTGGCCAATTCAGGGGCTCCATGGCCCTACCACTCACCGGGTCCCCTTACCTGGGGCCCTGGCTATACCCGAACAGATTCCCAGACCCCCGACATCATGAATTTTTCATGACGTCGACCCCCAGCGGTCTGGACCCTTTCCCCGGGACCGGTTTTTCGTCCTGACCCGTTTTGTGACGGTCCCGAGGGCCGGCAAGGGCCCCCAAAGGCCAAAAATCATGAAAAACCTCCCGTAGTGATTTTTCATGACTCGAGGGGGTCTGGGTTCCAGGACGCCTGAACACAAGAGCGTTGCCATCTCTTGGTGTGGGGGGCGCGTCCTTGGCTTCCGCCGGCCTCCGCCGGTCTCCCCCCAGCCGCCGCCAGCGGAGGCGGCCTCGCCGTGCGTGCTTCCGCCGCCTTCCGCCGGCCTGCCGCCAGCCTTCTGCCGACGGAGGAGGAGGAGGAGGAGGAGGAGGAGGAGGAGGAGGAGGACGAGGAGGGGGGGAAGGAGGAGGAGGAGGAGGAGGAGGAGGAGGGGGAAGAGGAAGAGGAAACCTTCGATCCTCGAAAGCGAGGCCCCTTCTGGAGGGCGTGGCCAGTGGCGGGGGATATGCACAGATCTCGTCACCCAGACCTGGGAAACGCGCCGCACACTCCTGTCCCCGGACGTCTTGCGCCCCGAGAGTCGGGCGTTGGCAAAACTGGGTCTAGTGGGACCCAGTTCAGTGATGTGTACTGGGGGACGCCCCCCCCCGCCCCGCTCCACCAACCCGAATTGCTGCCACCCGAAAAACGCCAGCTACGGCAGACCTGGCTTAGTGATCCTGGCCCATCTGGGGGCTCTGGGGCCCCACCACTCACCGGGTCCCCTTACCTGGGGCCCTGGCTGCCCCCGAGAGAGATCGAAGCGGCCGCCCTCGTCATCCAGCGCGCCGCGCTGGCCCCTCGAGAGCGCCCGCTGCTGGGCGCCCGGCCGCCCATCAGCGAGCCTCGAGTCGGACCCGGGGCAGAAGAACATCCCTCAAGCACACGAGACGCCCCGCCGGCCCAGACTGACGAACACTCGAGGAGGCAGGCCCTCCCCGGGGATGCACCAGAGCATCCAACAGGCACCAAGAGCCTCAGGGCACCATCCCCGAACCGACCACGATCTCATACCTCGGCCCGACCGTACCCCGAGCGCTGCAGTCGAAGCGTGGCCACAAGAGCGTGGATCGAGAGCATGCGCCCCGGTGCCGAAGGACCCAGGGCCCATGGAGATCCCCCAAAACTAACAACGTCCCTGGGTGGAAAGTCCAAGCATGAAGAACATCAAGGGCACCCCTCCACAGTCAGGGTTGCTCTTACTCCTCATGCCAGCTGTGCCTCCCTCCTCCTCCTCCCTTACTCCCCCTTACTCCTTCCTTGGCGGCGCCCACAGAGGGGGGGGGGGGGGGGGGCGCGAGGGGGGGGGCCTCCAAGACGTCGAGGGAGCTTATAAGAAGGCAGGGGCCTTCTTGGCAGGCCCCCGAGGTTTTTCAAGGGCGCCTTAGGAGCAGGGCGGCCTTCTGAGAAGCCCCCCTGCCTTCTGAGCAGCCCCGCCGCCTTCTCGGAAACCCACCACACCCTCGCGCCACCCCTTTGCGGGTGGCCCCCGACGCACTTCTTCCACAGAAGTCGTGGCACTGCGCTCGTCGTTTTCAGGAGTGGATCTCTTCGCGCTCCCCCGCCCTGAAGATTAGCACTCGCTTTGCGACTTGACCCTTCCCACGCCCCCTCCCCCCGAGCGGTCGTTACCCTCTGTGGGGGAGAAGGCACTTCCGCCGCCACTTCTTCACGACGCGAGGCGTCTAGGCCTAGGTCGGGCGTGTCCCCCTGCAGGCGGATTCTCGACGAAAAATGCAAAATGGCCCAAAGATATTCAAAAAATGATTCAAAAATAACTAGGAAATCGTCCCCAGACTATCTTGTCACGATTTTTGAACAGTCCTCCTGTAGAGGGACGTGCCCGATTTGTAAATCTAGGTCCAAGGGACCCAAAAAACGGCCCCCCTGGACCCGTCCAGGGACTCCACTCCGACCAGAGCTCCGCGGCTCGTCCACGGCCGTGGCGGCGAGGAGACCCCCAGGCGGCCCACACCTGATACTGCCACGAACCCCGACCTTGGAGGACAAATGGGCGCGACTTGCGAGGAGGAGAAAAACAAAGAAGAGGACGCCTGTAAGGCGCACAATGCCGATTCTCGTGTGCCTTTTGACGCTGTGCCGCTGTAAGGCGCGCTATGTTGGTCCCCGCGTTGTCCGCAAAAAAGCACGGGAACCGCCCTGAAACGTCGTTCCTCGCCGAAGGGCCGTTTTGTTGGAGGCCTCCCAGATGGGGTCGGAGTAGATGGGGTCGAAGGATCACGCCGCATCGCCGATGCATCGACGATGCATCGGCGACGCCGTCGACTCACCAGGGCCGTCGGCGATGCATCGGCGATGCGGCGCGATCCTCCGAACCCATCTACGGTCGGGAACTTTTGCTTAGCGTGTCCCGCCGGACCCAGCGACATGCGATGCCTTGCTAGTTGATAGCGTGCCGCTCCGCTCCGCGGATGGGAGGCTGGGGAAAGCTCGGGATGTTGACGCTGGGCGGCCAGGAAGTGGACAGCGTCTCGCACCGAAGTGCGGTGGGCCAGGACCCGGCGGAGCGTCACGCTATCCAACAGTTCCCGACCGAGCTCCGACCCCGTCTGAGATGCCTAGATCTCGGGGGCGCGCAAACATGGATTAACGATCCATGGATTTGGCGCGCGGTCGCCAAATCCATGGATCGGGGGAGGTCCCCTTCCCACAATGCGGCCGGTGCCGCCTCGTTCGGCGGCGGAAATCCGCGATTCCCCATGGAGACGGCACCCGTCGCTAATCCACGCCCCTTGGTCCCATGGAGGAGGAAGAGAAGGAGGAGGAGGAGGAGGAGGAGGAGGAGGAGGAGGAGGAGGAGAAGGAGGAGGACGCCTGAAGATCTCTTGGCGGCGCGAAGAGAGGTCCGGGGCCCCCCGCTCCCCCGAGGGCGCCTGCGCGCGGAGGTAGAACTCGGCCTCGCCGCCCTCGGCCGCGCCGGCAGGCGGGCTCCGGACCAGCAGGGCGGCCCTCGCGCGAGGGAGCCCAGAGGGCCGAAGGATCGGGGATCGGAGCAGTCCTGGGGCTCTGCCGTGCTCTTCGGGGAACAACAGGTGGCACAAGCAAAAAAAAAACTTGGAGGTCCGCGCGGATGTCCAGGATCGGCGCTGGGGCCCCCTGGCGGCGCCTCCGGCGCCGCCCCTGGCGAGCGGAGCGCACCAGGGAGGGGGGCCCAGCGCGGATCCGAGCAATCCGCGCGGATCTCCGAGTTTTCATGTTTATGCCATTGTTTGTTACCCTGGCTCTTGCTCGCAAGAGCATTTGGCACGCGTGCGGAGCTGCACTGCCAATGCCACGCCTTCCTGCGGCGTTACTGCGTTCCTGCTCTGAACGCACAGGGCTTGAAGGCGGCGGAGAGCTTGAGAGATCCACCCAAAACAATGGGTCGACGAGTCGAGGAGAGAAGTCTCTGGAGCTCGGGGGCTTCCCCGCCTCGGGGGTGCTCTCTAGCAGATGCGCCTCGCCGAGGGCTTCCCGCGGGGGGTCCGGAGGGTCCCGAGCGGCCGCCAGAGGCTCGAGCTGTGGCCCGAAAGCCGCCCAGGCCCTGGCCACCTCGCGCCGTCGAAGCAGTCACGGCGGAGCTTCGGTAGAGGGAAACAATTAGTGAACCCCCCCCCTGCCCCCCAAACTCTCAAAGTTGGCACGCGGGGGGGAGACTGCGGTCGAGGTGCAACTCATCAGACCCACCGCCAACTTTGAACATTGGGGGAAGGGGGAGGCGTTCACAGGTGAATGTGGCATGAGTGTTCGCTAATTTTTTCCGAGGCCTGTTCCGCGCCACCGTCGGCCTCCGTGAGGCTCCTGCGGGGCCCCGGGAGTCCGAGAAACGGCTCGGGATAGGAGGCTGGCCCACAGAAGGGGTCGAGGGCTCCGCTGGGGGCCCACGGACTGGAAAAGGCACCACGTGGGGGGGGCCACGAGGATCGAGGATCGAGGTTTTCACACGAGGTGTTCTAGAAGCGTGGGGGGGAATCGCGTGGAGGGGTAAGAGTGGGCTGTCCCTCGCGGGCCCAGGGGGGAGGTCGCGCTGAGGAGTGGGTTCGGTGCGCGCGGAGGGGTCGGATCGGGCCGTTGGGCGGGGTGGCCTGGGGGGTGCTTTACCAGACGAGCCGGAGTACAGTCGGGTCCAGGCCAGAAGAACATCCCTCAAGAACATGAGACCCCCCGTCGGCCAAAACAAACAGAACATCCAAGGGTGCCCTCCCCAGAATGCACAAGAACATCCAACAAGCGCGAAGAGCACCAGGGCACCCTCCCCGAACCGACCTCGATATTGTTATACCTCGGCCCGACTGCACTGATGCTCGCCCTTTTTGGGCCCCCCGTCGGGCTCCTCGTCGCCACGCTCAGGTCGGGCCTGTCCCCCATAAAGGCGGCTGCGGGGGGAAAGATCAAAAATACCCAAAAGACTCTCACAAATAGTAAAAAGTGGTCGAAAAATCGTCCCCCGCCTATTTGTTTATGTTTTGGAACGTTCCTCCTGTAGAGGGACAGGCCCGACTCGTCGCCGCGGCTGGCGTGCCGTCGCACGCCTGGTCGAACGCGCCCCGGGCGAGGCCCCCCCGCGGGGACCCGCGTCGGCGAGGCGGCCCCGGGCGGCCGCCGCCGTGACTTCCGAGCCCCCGGGGGGGCAGCCCTCCGTGGCCTCCGCCCCCGGGGGGGCAGCCTCCCGGAGCCCTCCGCACCCGCAGGGCCTCGGCTGCCCCCGAGGCGCAGCAGCACGCAGCACGTGGCGTACCCGTGCGGAGCGCAGCACGCAGACCGAACGCGGACGTTTTTCCAACACGGACGCCCTGAACACGGCATGCGTTGCGCTTCAAAGCGTGCGCCTCGGAGCAGCCAAGGTCGGGGCAGGGCCGAGGGGGGAGGGAGCGGGGCCCGAGAGCTCGAGGGGCCACGCATCGCACGGGACGACAGCAGAGGACGTCGTCGTCGTCGTCGTCGACGTCGTCGTCGTCGTGCGAGGAGTGTTTTGTTCGAGGCTCAGAGCCGTGCCTGGCTGGCCCGGGCAGGGCCCCGCGGCCTTGGCCAGGAGAGCCCAGCATCGGCGATCGACACGAGTCGGGTCGGCGGGGCGGAGGAATCGGCAGAGTCGTGGGGGCCTCGCACGGAGAAGTGCCCCGATCGGGGCCCGACGTCGAAGCACATCGGAATCGGAGAAGATCGAAACCGAGGAGGGGGAGAAGAAGGAGATCGAAAATGGGATGCCGAATCGAAAATCCGCCGACCAGATCGGCCAGATCGAAAATGGGATCGAGAAGGCCAGATGAGAGAGAAGGAGGCGGCCAGATGAGAGAGAAGGAGACGGCCAGATGAGAGAGAAGGAGGCGGCCAGATCGAAAATGGGATGCTGGATCAAAAATCCGCCGACCCTGTCGGCGTGTAGAAGACGTATCCTGGTCTCGTCATCTTGCGCAGGTCGTCGTCGCCCACGAGATCGCCACGTCGGCTCCAAGAGGGGTGGTCGGCTCCCCTCGGGGGAGGGGAGCTGCCCACGACACCGCCACGTCGGCTCCAAGAAGGGGAGTGGTCGACTCTCCCCGGGCGAGGGGAGCGGCCGCGACCGGGGGGAGGAAGCCAATCTGCTCCCCCCCGGACACGGGGGGGAAGCCGATCTGAGCAACGTCGCAGCTTACTCGAAGGGACGCCCCTTCCCTTTGATCCCTTCCCCCCGAAGGGGGGGTGGGGGGGTGGGGAGGGGAGGGGGGATAGGGAGGAAGCCCGGGATACGCGGGGGGGGGGGAGGGGGGGGCACCCGGGCGGCTCCCTTCGGGGAAGGGGAGCGGCCGCGACGCGGAGGAGAGCGGCCGCAACCTGAGGGGGAAGCCAATCTGCTCCCCCCGGACACGGGGGGGAAGCCAATTTGAGCAACCTCGTAGACTACTCCAAGGGGGGCCCCTTCTCTTTTTATCCCTTTCCCCCGAAAGAGAGGTGGGGTCGGGTGGGGGTCCCACCCGGATACCCGGGGGGGGGGGGGCACCCGGGCGGCCCCCCTTCGAGGGAGGGGAGCGGCCGCGACGCGGAGGGGAAGCCAATCTGAGCAACGTCGGTGTTTACTCGAAGGGGGGGGGGTCCCGGAATGGGGTCCAAGGGGGGGGGTCCCGGGTCAAAACACCACCCTCCCGGGGCCCATGGCCCGCCCTCTCCCTCCAATTTCCGTCGAAAGCCGAGGCCTCCAGGGTCGGCGGCACCAGCCGCAAGGCCTCAGCAATAGGAGGAGGAGGAGGAGGAGGAGGAGGAGGAGGAGGAGGAGGAGGACGAGGAGAAGGAGGAGGAGGAGAAGGAGGAGGAGAAAGAGAGGGAGAAGAAGGAGGGGGAGGAGGAGGAGGAGGAGGAGGAGGACGAGGAGGAGAAGGAGGAGGAGGGGGAACCGGAAATCGGAGATTGAGTCGCCTTGGGGGCATCGAAGCGAGGCCCGTTTTCGGCCTGCCCAGGGGCGGCATCTCGGGGGCCGGCGGCGCGCGCCCCCCCACGGGGGGGGGCCTCGCGGGGAGCGCCGCCGGGGGAGGCGCAGGAGGGGCCTGCGCTGGCCGCCTGGGCTACAAATAGGTCGGGCATGTCCCCCTACAGGCGGATGTTCGGCGAAACCTAAAAAACACCCGAACATAGCCCCAAATAATAAAACCAAAGAAACAGCAAAGAAACAACAACAAAACATGATCGACCCACGAACCCGGAAAGGAATATAGAAATGTAAGGCATGGCAACGTTTCAAAGACACCTGATTGGGCGACGGGCAAATGCAATGATGAATGTATCAAGTTTGATGTACCGTGCCGAGGGCTGTGCTGTGCTGCGCCGTGCTGATGCTGAACTGCGATGTGCCATGCCGCGAATGTGCTCTACAGCGTTGTGGATCGAGTCCTCCTTTGCACCCGAGTCCTGACCGAACTGATCTGGATCGTAAGCTCGAGCTGCCTCAGCACATAGTAGCTGCCCCAGAGCTAATTGACAGGAGAACATGCCAGGAGGACGCGCCGCGGAACGTCCCAAGGGACGCGCCAGGCGACGTGCCAAGGGACGTGCCACGAAGACGCACCGCGGGACGTGCCGAGGGGACGCGCTACGGAAAGTGCCAACGAATCCGCGCGAGCCCCCTCGTAAGAGCTGCTACAAAGGAAGGCTCTCACAAGTGGAGCCTGGCCTCACCAGTGGATCCCGGCACTCCGGCCGTCGCTTCATCTGCAACAGGAGGAGCAACACGAGGCGCGCTGGAGGTCTGCGAGGTCTGCGAGATCTGCGAGGCTAGGATAGCAAAGGGCAGGGTAAAGAATCGGGTCACGTGGCTGGTTTTCCTGGCGCCTCCTGCCGCCCGGAGGCGCCCGCGTCTTGAGGAAAGGGCCCGGCGGCGGGATTCCGTGTACCCACCCTTTCCCTGTCCTGCCCTTTCGCCCGGCCCGAGGGGAGGCAGGGGGAACGCAGAAAGGGGGGGAGACGGAGGCGGGCTGCAGGGAGGGAGACCCTGAGAGCCGGCGTCGCGAAAAGCCTGCACCATCGTGGACAATCACCGCCAGAGCCATGGAAGCCCCGTCATCCTGCTGCGGTGCTCGAGCCGGGTCGATGGGCGAGGGCCCCTGGGGCCCGAAGCGGGGCCAAGACGCGTCATGCGAAACCACTGCGGCGCCAAGATCTCAAGGGAGCAAGGATGGAGGGCGAGGCGGGCTGGCACAGAGCTCCGCCTTCGCGTTGTTGCTCACAACGCGGGACCCCGGAGGTATGGACTCCTCCCCCAGGGCCTGCTCTTCATCCTGAGCCGTCTTCGCCACGCCCCCAGGGCCTGGCGAGGGCCCCTATAGCTAGAGGCCGAAGAAAAGGCCAAAAGAAGCCGCCCTCTGTGATATCTCCCGCAGCGATGGGAGGCGGGGTGGGGAGAAGGAGGGAGAGGAGGGGTGCATTGAGGCCTCGCGCCCAGCCGCGCCAGCTCCGCGCCGGGCACGTCGAGGCCGGCGAGGCGGAGCCCCGGGGCGGCCCGCGCATCCGCCGCGGCGGCGCTCGCCTGGCGCGGGCGGCGCCGGCGACGACGGCCAGATGATCCTCCTCCTCCTCCTCCTCCTCCTCCTCCTCCTCCTCCTCCTCCTCCTCCTCCTCCTCCTCCTCCTCCTCCTCCTCCTCCTCCTCCTCCTCCTCCCCCTCCCCCTCCTCCTCCTCGTCACGCCGGCGCTCGCCTGGCGCGGGCGGCGCTGGCGTGACGGCCGGGCCCAGGAGAGAAGAACGCCCTTCAAGAACATGAGGCCCTCCGCCGGCCAAAACACCCCAAACCATAGGACCACTCTCCCCCAGGACGCACGAGCACATCCAACGAGCACGAAGAACATTGGGGTTCCTTCGCAGCACCGACCTCAATCTTACACTTCCGACCGAAGAGCCAACGTGTGTTTTCTCCAGCGCCCTATTCGGGGAGGGGGAAGGCAGGGAATTAGGAGATTCGTGGGAGCTTCACCGGGCCTCCGCGGCCCTGTCATAAGCGTGATGAAGACCGGCGTTCGTCCAGATGTCGACCACCCCTCTTCAACCGTTCTTCCAAATTTCGCCCACATGTCGTCAAGATTTCGCCCAGACTTCGACCAAATCCGAAAACATTTGGACGAAATCCCTAAAACCGCGAGGAAATGTGGGACCCCCTGAGGCTCACATGAAGGAATACACCACGTTGTCCCCTCACACCTCACACACGGGGTTGGCGCCCAAAGAACAAGCCTATCTCAAGTAACATCTCCGCGGCGCGACCCAAGGGGAAAACGATGGTCTCAAGTAACTCCTCGGTGCACCAGCGCGCAACGAGACCGCAACGCAACTCAGCCCGAAAATGCGAACGAAAGCTGACGAGGAGGACGAGGAGGACGAGGGGAGGAGAAAAAGAAGGGGCAAGGGCATTGTGCGGAGAACCCGCGTGACCCAAACGGCCACTTATATAATCCCAAAACGCACAGCGGCATGCGAGGGGAAAGGAAAGGAAGGAAAGGAGGAGGGCAGCAAAGGAGGAGGAGGAGGAGTAAAATACTGATAAAAAAGTCCCAGCAACGTATCGTCTGGATTTACGCCCTGCAGGGCGCAGGGAATGAACAACTCCGCGATGCGAGGTGTTGGCCCCAGGGCCCGACCGACCACCGACGCACTTAAGCCTCACATCGCGGCAATCGTAGACAAGCAGCACTATGCACAAAAGAAGGAAGACGGAGAGAAGAAGAGGCAGAGGAGGGCAAAAGCGACGCGAGGGCTCACATGTAGTGGGACAGGGGGACAGGCAGCGGAACAAGCAGGTGTAGCACGAGTGCTGGTAGCCGCCCCCAAGGTGGGTGGAGGCCGAAGGACGCCTGGAAACGGGCACCGAGGCACCCGTGTGGCCAGGAGCCCACCTGCGCAACGCCCCACGATCTGGAGCTGGGGTCGGCTTTGGACCGGGAGTCGAAAACGCAATCGACAGTGGAGTCGTCGCTGGAGCCGGGGGCGGGGCCTGAGCCGGAGCGCGTGCCGAGGTGGAGTCGGAGGTGATGCCGTAGCCGGCGCGGGCCGCCCGGGCGGCAGGGGTGAAGGAGCCTGTGGCGGCAGTCGGAGTGGGGGCCACGTCGCTGCAGGGTCGGAGTCCTGGCGTGGATGGTCGTGGTTGTGGTGGTGACGGTGCGGGCGACGGGGGTTGGTGGCAAGCGGAATTCTTGGCCGGCCGCGCCGGCCGGGTAGACGTCCTCGCCGCCGGCCAGGGAAACGTCACCACATCGGCGCTGGAGCTGGGGCCGGAGTCGGGATTGGAGTAGGACCTGGGGTCACACCTTCATATGTTGCACGACTCCGCCATGGCAGACAACATGGAGCGTGCAGTGATGGAGGAGGTAGCATGGGGCGGGCGCACGAGTCTGTGAGCGCAGACAGCATACAGCATGGGGAAATGGCTACTCGCGGCTCTCGTCGTGCCACTGATTGGATCCATGCGCTGCGCTGCTCATGGTAGCCTTCGCGCTGCACATGACATTCGTCGTAAAACTCAGGGTCTCCAGCATGCTGCTCGCGGTACCCGTCGTGCTGCTCTTAATTCCTTGCTGGCGTCAGTGCTGGCGCAGGCGTTCCCAAGCTGGCCCGCCCAAACTGACGCGTCAGGCTGGACCTCGGATAGCGGATGGGCCAGCAAGCAAAAATCGGTAGGCAAGGTGGGAGATACGATAGTGGGTGGGCCAACACGCAGAAATTGATGTTGGTTTCGGTGCTGGTGTGGGTGCTGGTGTGGACGTTGGTGAAGGCCTCGGCGACGGTACTGGTGTTGGCGCTGGCGCACATGCTGGCGTTGTTGGTGACGGTGTGGGCGCAAACAGTGATGTTGGCGCCCATGTTGGCGTCGATGTTTGGATCTTCTCAGTGGTCCGGTTGCGCACGAAGCCGCAAGACTGGTTAACGGCGTTGTGCCAACCATAGTAGCCATAGTACCCGCCGTCGGGGCAAGAGATGGCGCCAGGGTCGCCACGGCAATCGGGGCCGAAGTTGGAGCTGGCAGCTCGGAGCCTTTGTCGGGCCCCCGGCGCGTGCCAGACTGCCAGGCCGGCAGGACCTGCCTGCCCGAATCCGGTGCTCTATGCTCTATGCCTGGCGGTGCCGAGTCCAGGGCAGGCGCCCTCCCTCCCTGCGTCACTGCGTTGGCGTCGGAGCTGGAGGCAGAATCGAGCTCGGAACATGAGCTGGAGTCTGGACCTGATATAATATGCTACCCCAACATAACATGCAGCCTGTAGCTGGCGATGCTGTAACATGAAGGAACACACAACAAGTGGAAGAGGGGGACGACGCGAGCCATCGATGACAAACCACGTGTCTTCACTGGTGCAGAGCTGGGGCGCCATCCGAGGTGCAGCCTGCAGCTACTGGCACGAGTTGCGCACGCCAAGAACAAGCGAGCCGCCCAAAAACGCCAACATGTGATTGTCTGACTTGTCCACGGAAGCCCTTCACTACGGCGCATGCGACTTGATGAGGGTCGGCACTGGCTACGCGCCGTCGGCGGCGCTGAACTTGGCACGGCAAGGACATTGGATAAAGCACCCTGGAAGAAGGAATCCATGGACTGGAGGCAGGTAGAAGCCCGGCTACCAGGCCCTACTCGCGGGGGCGTTGCCGCGCCCGCCGGCGGTGCCAACTACTTCCCATTTTCAACGGCGGCCTCCAGGGTCGGTCGCTGCCCCACCCGGCTCGCCCTCGTTGTCCTGGGGCGCCGTCGCCAAACCGCCAGCCCAGGCCTCGAGAGCTGCGCAGGTCTCGGCTGCCACGCTCGCCGCTTTTTGAACCGAGAAATTTTTCTCGGTACCAACCAGCTCGACAGATCCAGGATGGCCGCCGACTCGTCCAGCGCCGCGCAAGATTTTTTCGGGCACAGCACCTCCTTGCAAACTGCCGTTGGAGCTTGGTGCCCACCCCACCCCTTCGAGAACCCCGCTGCCGCCATGGCGGAGGGGATCGCAGCCAGCTTTGAATGTTCTGTCCATAACTCCACTACCTCCTCGGCGAGGTGGAGCTCGACCTCCTCCCCTGTGCACGCCGCTGGCTTTAGCATCCTTCAAAGCACCTCCTGACCCGCTGCCAATGCTCCGGCGTGCCACCAGCCCCGCGTCGTCGTACCTCGGCAGGAAGTAGTCCTTCTCGAAATTCCCAATCTCCTGTCCCAGATCGATGCCGTCTGGGGCCACGCTGGGTCCAGCACGTAGCGCTCCCGGGCTACCACGAGCGCATATTGCGCCCTGCCCCGCAGGCCCTCGTGAGCCCCAGCGTGGCCGTCAGCCCTCCGCACACGAAAGCGAGGCGCTGCGGCGGGAGCCAGCTGCAGTCGTCGCAACGCAGCACCACCCACGTCTTGACGAGGCCAAACGAACCCACCCCGCGCAGGTACGGCCCGAGGCCGTCGTGTAGGACCAGCCGTTCCATGGCCCCGATGAACGCGCTGGGGAAACGCTCTGTCCTCGTCGTCGGCCCCTTGCCCACGCCGAAGAGCATTTCCACGCTCGCGACGACCTGCTGCGCCTCCAACCGAACGGAGAGCCTGTCGCTCGCGCTCGACACCCGCGACCTGTTCCGCCCAGACTAAGGCGCGCAGGGTCTGGTTGGGCACCGTCGGCCCACACGGCTCGGCCGCCCTGGCGCAAGAACCACCCGGCTGCACGATCGTCACGGGACACGGGACCCCGCGCGCGCAAGAACAACCTGCGCATCGCTTCCATGGCTCACACGGACGAACTCACTACGTTGATGCGCGTGCGTCCCGTGCTGCCGTCCTTCGCCCGCTCTGGGCCCATGCAGGCATGCGCCGCATCGAGGGAGGGCGCCCCCATCTCCTCGAGCAGCGCGAGCAGGCCAGGCTTCCACCGAGCACACTCCTGCACCTCCAGCCCGCGTTGGCTCTCCTCCACGGCCGCACGGCACCTCCGCGTGAAGCGGGCCCCCACCATCGCACGAGCCCCTTGTCGGCGGCGGGGCTTCGGCCGTACCTCGGTCGCCCGCCAATCGGAGGCAAGTTGCGGCGTCTTCCGACATGGCTCGCTCGGGGCAACTGCGGCACGCCCTCAAACGTTTCAGAGCGGGTTCCTCAACAACGGCCCGACCCACGAGCCCCCTCAGCGGCTGGCGCGCGCCCTCCACGCTGAGGTCCGCGGCCTCCGCCACTTCTGCACGAGGGCCCCTCTCGACCTCTGCCCCCTCCGCCTGCAGCACGAGGCGCGGGCCGAGGTCGCACTCGCGCAATATCTTGCTGACCCGCCGCCGCACGACGTCGCACGGCCCAAGGGCCAGCATCTGCGCCCAACCGTTGCTCAGAATCGGCCGAACGCCTGCGCCCAAATGGCCACAGGCATCGGGCGGGAGGATACACATTCGTGTTGCCATTGATTTGTTCGATCATGTCGGCGTGCGCCCGCGACGCCGCGCGCATGTGAAGTTGGCCTCCTATTGTGCAAGGCATTCGCGAAAATGGATGATTGGTGATAGCCGAGCGCGCGCGCATTATATCAGTTGACAGAAATGCTGGGGGTCGACAGCGGCATTCATGTTTAAAACGAACGAATTTGCAGAATCATATGTACATGTTACGATCCCGTGGGAAAGCGATAAAGCAAGGGCAAGAGGGGAAAGTGCCAATATTCCTCTTTAGACTACATGCATACGTATGTGATGTATCCAACACATGTGGTGCAATCTATGTTGCGCACTTGATTTTTACCCATGAACTGACACATGGCATGCTCCTGCAAACATCCCACCCACCCACCCGCAACTTGGCTTGCAAAACCAACGCGGTGGTAATTGCGATGCATGCTTGGCGTTGGCTGGTGCATATATGCGGCCGCGCCAACCCTAGAACGCACGCGCAGCGGCCAGCTAGCTTGGCGCCACCGACGCGGCCGCGGTGGCGCTGACCGCTGGGCGCATCTCAGCGGGCACTTCACTGCGAGTCGGCGACTTGGGCGGGAGCGATGATGATATTGGCGATGCTGGTGACGATGTTCGCACCGACGAAGGCGCGGCCAGTGCGGGCGCCGATGCTGATCCACCGACGACGATGATTAAGGTGTTGGAAAGAGTTAGACATGCGCGCGCGGCCGACGCGCGACATTGGCCCCCATGGGGTTGTTTGGCACGGAACGTGCCCCCCCAACACGCGCGCAAGGGCGTGCGAATGATGTCGGCATGCGGCGCCAGAGGCCTGTTTGGCAGAATTACATAAGATGTTGAAAAACCGTTGGTTTTCCAGAGAAAAAACCACCAGAGCGCGCGCGCAAGCTTTTTCTGAAAACTGATGTTGCGAAACATTGTGTTTTTGAAGGTTTGTTGTTTTGACATTCAGTTTTGAAACCGTTCCGAAACCAAATGTTTTTGAAGGATTTCGGCATGCGCGCGTGTGCACTTCGTCCGACTTGTTGCAACAGATTCTCGCGACGGCACGCGCGCAAAGGCGTCAAAACGATTTCGACATGCACGCGCGAAGCCCGTTTGGTAGCATTGTTCTGCAGATGTTGACAGCCTATGGTTTTCTTAAGAATTCGCAAGGGCGCGCGCGCACGTTTTTGTTGAAAATCCGTGTTGCGAAACCATGTGTGAATATTTCTTTGTTGGACACTCGATTTTGCAATCCTTCCGACATCGAATGTTTTTGAAGGATTCGGCATGCGCGACGCGCGCGTGCGCACTTCGTCCCATTTGTTGCGAGGGATTATTGAAAACTGATGATGTTAACAAGTGAGCGCGCATAGATTTTGTTGCTGAGGATGGCGGGGGGGGGCGACACCGGCTTGGCTGGGATGGTATGAATTCATATTTCGGATGGGCGATGGGGCAGACTCATATGCAAATTGCAATACGAAAATATGGATTGATAAAGCCGGGGGGGGCGGGGATCCTACTTATTTTTAAGAACGAATAATCCAAGGCAGCGAAAGAGCGGCGACGAGACGGCGACGGCGACCACGGAGCCGCCAGACTGGCACCCAAGCCCGGAAGACGGGCGGTGGGCGGCGACGAGGCGGCGACGGGGTGGCAACAGCGACAACGGAGCCACCAGGCTGGGACGGGCGGCGACGAGGCGGCGACGGGGCGGCGCAGGCGACCACAGAGCCGCCAGACTGGCACCCAGGCCCAGAAGACGGGCGGCGACGAGGCGGCGACGGGGCGGCGACGGCGACAACGAAGCCACCACACCAGCACCCATGCCCAGACGACGGGCGGTGACGAGGCGGCGACGGGGCTGCGACAGCGACCACGGAGCAGCCACACCGGCGCCCAGGCTCAACTTCCTTAGAGCAAGAAGTAACAACCCCTAAGTGCAAGCACTGCTTAGGGAATAAGCGTAGAGACTCGTCAGGAGGCGACTGGGGACGGGAGGGTGCACGATCAGGAAGTGTTGTTTACCGTGTCGCGTTGGCGACATCTGCGGAACGCTATGCCTTTCACGCTGATAGCGGCTCACTTTGTTCCCCCGCTTTCAGCGTTCAAAGTTTGGAACGCGATACTTGGAGCCTGAGACTTGGTTCGCGTGTCGAGCAGAAGCGCTGTGGGCCAGAACCGGCGGCGCGACACGCTAAGCAAACGCTCCTGCTTCATTACAGCATCGCGGATGCATCTTAGGTTTACTATTGTCCTTTTCCTCCTCCTCCTCCTCTTCCTCCTCCTCCTCATCATCATCAGAATCATCATCATCATCATCATCATCATCATCATCATCATCATCATCATCATCATCATCATCATCATCATCATCCTCCGCCTCCTCCTCTTTCTCCTCCTCCTCCTTTTGCTCCCGTCTGCTCCTCCTCCTGCCTCCGTCCCTCCTTCCCTCCCTCCCTTCCTCATCCTTCCCTCCCTCCCTCCTCCCTCCTCCATCCTCGCGCCTCCGTATCTGCCTCCTCCTCTTTCCTCCCTCCCTCCCTCCCTGCCTCGATTCCTCCCTCCCTCCCTCCCTCCCTCCCTCCCTCCCTCCTCCATCCTCCAGCATCCATCCTCTCTCGTCTCCCCCCCTCCCAAGAAGCCGTTTCAGAACTGTCCCCTTGACCCCCCCGCGTGGGCTCGTTCGGCAAATATTCCAAGTTCGCTCGCGGTGGAAAAGAAAAGCTCACAGACTTGTTGTTTCATGCGTTCGGGAAGTAGTTGTTCGACACTAAATTGCGGGTCTGCCGCATCGCCGTTGTCCAAGCCGCATCCAGCCGTGGCCATCCAACCAGGGGGGGAGCACAAGCCCAGAAGTGGAGGAAGAAGGGACATGTTTGACGTCTTCTGGGCTGCGTGCCAAGATCCTGCACACCCACGCGGATAACGCAGGACCCTACGTGATGCGGGCAGTGAGCTCGCCGGCCATACACAACATAGCAAAGGCCCAATTTCGGCGCGGTGCCATCTGGGCTGCATCTACGCCCGGACCCATCATCATACGAATGGCGAGCTGTTTTGCCACATGCTCAATCACAGCGCGTAGAGAACTGCACGCGGCGAGTTCCGCGCTAGAACTCAAGGCGCTGTGAGCCAAAACCACACACCATCCAAAGGTTCAAACGAGTGCCGATCTTCAGCCATGGAACCCGCGCTGCCCCAGCCTTTTCGCCACGCGGAACAGGAGGAGGAAGAGGAAGACAAGGAGGGGGACCGAGGAGACAGAAAATGGTAAGAATAAGGAGGCGGGGAGAAGGAGGAGGAGGACAAGGAGGGGGAGGAGGAGGGGGAGGAGGAGGAGGAGGGAGAAGAGGATGAGGAAGAGATTATGGAGGAAGGGAACCCTAGTTCCTTTTTCATTGTCCTCTTTCGACCTCCTCCTCCTTTCCGTCCTCCTCCTCCTCCATCGATCCTCACACCCACCAGAGACGGCGGAACTGCCTGACCCATCATCACCATTATCATCATCATCATCATCATCATCATCATCATCATCATCATCATCATCGTCATCATCATCATCATCATCATCATCATCATCATCATCATCATCGTCATCATCATCATCATCATCATCATCATCATCATCATCATCATCATCATCATCATCATCATCTCATCATCATCCTCATCCTCATCCTCATCCTCATCCTCATCCTCATCCTCATCCTCATCATCATCACCACCAGCGTCAGCATCATCACCATCCCCATCGCTATCACCAGCATAATCATCCTCATCATCAGCATCATCAGCATTTGCATCAAAATCTTCAGCATCATGACCAGCATCAACAGCATCATCAGCATCATCAGCATCAGCATCATATTCATCGCCAGCGTCGTCATCACCATCATCATCAGCACCCTCATCAGCCCCACCGCCATCAGCAGCAGCACACTCACCACCGCCACTGGCATCACCATCATCATCACCACCATCATCATCGTTAGCATCATCAGAATCATCAGCATTGCTGCTGACGGTGACGCTGATGATGACGACGATGATGACGATGACGAATATGACGATAATCATCCTCCTCCTCCTCCTCCTCCTCCTCCCTCTCCTCTTGCACCCCTCCCCCTCCTCCTCCTCCCCCTCATCATCAGCATCATCATCATCATCATCATCAGCATCATCATCATCATCATCATCATCATCATCATCATCATCATCATCATCATCATCATCATCAACATCATCTTCATCCCTATTCCTCCTGCTGCTCCTCCTCCCCCCCTCATCCTCCCCCCCTCCTCCTCCTCCTCCTCCTCCTCCTCCTCCTCCTCCTCCTCCGCCTCCCTCCGCCTCCGCCTCCGCCTCCGCCTCCTCCCTCCTCCTCCTCTCCTCCTCCTCCTCCGCCTCCTCTCCTCCTCCTCCTCCTCCTCCTCCTCCTCCTCTCCTCCTCTTCCTCCTCCTCCTCCTCCTCCTCCTCCTCCCTCCTCCTCCTCCTCCTCCTCCTCCCTCCTCCTCCTCCTCCTCCTCCTCCTCCTCCTCCTCCTCCT